TTCTTGATCTAATTGAAGAGTATTTGCTCTGTTGAATTATCCGAATCACTAGTTTCCTTCACTGATATAGACCGTAAAGTCAGTTCTCTTAAACTCAACATTCTTGATTTGGTGAGACAGTGGACATCTATCCATTAATGACAATTGAGTACTTAATACAGACTACTAGTTAAGGATAGAAAAATGACTAAAACATGAGTTTGTCCTCAAGAGAACTTACAATTTCTCTTAACCCACTGTCTAAAATCAACAAAAGTTTTCAACAAAATGACATAACAATAGTAATAGGCAAAGTGTTCCAAAATTCTTTCCCAGCCCAGGATTTTTCTTGCTGGAAGTCACTTCATTGAATTGACATGCTAGAAGCTATGCTACTTCACCTACCTAGAAGAAAATGGAAAATAAAAGGCCTAAGTATGGAATTTATTTTTAAATAGGAGATGAATAAACACTGAATACACAAAGAACATGACGGGCAATGCAAAAAAAATCTATGATTTATCCATGTTACTGCGAGCTCATTCATTATTTTCTAATGACCGACAAAAAGTTGATAGCAAGTGGTTTAAAATTTACAGAGTTTGTGTATAGGTTTATCTCTTGTGTTTTAAAATCTCTCACATATTTAAGATGCATACTATGGCTAAGTAATTCCAGTGCCTTTTCTGACCATTTGCATCAAGCTCCAGAATGATATTCACGTTATTCACTCAAAAAAATGTATTTGGCTACTTTTGTGATAACACTTCTTTACATGAAAATAGGAAGAGAAAAAGCAAGAGGTTGGGAAAACATTTATAATTTCTCATGATTAAAAAAACAATAATTTCTCACAATTTAAGTTATTGATAGCTATTTTTTTCTACTTTAAAAAAGCACTAATTAAATCTAACTATATAAAATGGAGAAGAGATTTTACTTAGACAAAGGGAGCAGAGATTTCCCTCTATGATATTCAGCAGGCAAACCCCTGTAGAGATAAGGCAAAGAAGGACAGACACATAAAAAGTTCTCAATGGAACTTGGCCTCATTTCTCCACCTTGCTCTTCTGGATCCTGGGAGCAGTGGATTCTATTATCTGTCAATGAGCCAGGAGTAAGAGCTAAGAAACTCTTGAGAGTTAATTAAACATTATTAATCCGATATTCTCATCTTGAACACTGGGCTTAAAAATTATCAAAAGGGATTAAGAAGTAGCTTTTTGTTGTTGTTTTGTGATGAATTGTTTTCATTTCTTACCTTTTTCTGTCAGAAGATGCACAATTCTAAAGGTGCTGCTTGTGGTCTCTGACCTTCCACAGATACTGTGGAGTTTGAAAGGGATTAAATATCAGAAATATACTCATTGGCATCTAATAAACTATTTGTTCACATACATTATTCTTTCTGACAGCATTCTGCAATTGTCATTATTGTTAATGTACTTGAATATTTTTCTAAAACATTATTACTATTGAGTGTAATTCTTGAGAGGTGCAAAGATTTCAGGCAATTATCAGAAAAGGATGATGTTAATAAGTACTTAGAACAGGGGTTGCAAATGCATGGGCCACCAGTCAAGTTCAACCCTTATGTTTTGTTTGAACAGTCCAGTGCTTTTTTGTTTTTAATTGCATTTGAAGTCCTTTAGAAAGGGCGTGCATTCTTAGCTCCCATTTTCCCCAACACTTCCTATTGTCTCTAGCCTGCTGCCTCCTCATGCATCACACCTGTCAGACCCCAGTCACCCAAGTGTGCAACCCCTGAACTAAAATTTATTAATCAATAGAAGAAAATTATAACTCAAAGGAAAAGTCAAGTTTTTACAGTTTCTTAAATGCTTCTTCTAATGACTTTTCACAGGAGGTACTGAAAAAAGAGATCAGCAGACTCGGAGAATTCTTTCAAGATGTAAACTCTTGCCACCTTCCTCTGAACCCTGCCCTGTGTGTAAAAGGGATTGATCATGATGTAAGTCAGCCTACTCAGTAGATAAATTGAGCATTTCTGTTTTGTGTTGTCTAGTTCACTGTATATTTTTTGAAATGGCAAAAATAATTGACATTGCAGTTGTCTTAAGGAAAAAGCCATTGAATTCCATCCACGCCATGTGCTCTCTGATGCACTAGAATGAGTGGGCACCATATTGGCCTTATCATATGGTTTGTTGGTTTGAAAACAAACTCTTCATCCGTTCAGTGAAAAATAAACAAATAATGATACTTCTCACTGAATTGATTTCTTGACTCATTCAAAACGGTTAATTTGAGGA